GGGGGGAATACATACAGAACACTGTACATACTTTGAGATGTGGATTACAAATTTTCTTACTTAAACATCAGACAGTGTCGACTTTCCAAGCTTGGAGTTTGTAACTAGAAGGCTGCTGGTGTGTTCTCCATAAGCTGCAAGGCTAAAACCAAGTACACTTAAGCATACTGTAGCACAAGTAGCATGCAAGTAAGGCTAAGTATGAAATTTTGTGACACCACTGTTAATGCACTAGAAAATATATTTTAATTCTATTGTTTGATTTACTGATAGGGATTAGAATCACAAGAACACAAGGACAAAACTTCAAGTTTTGTGAAAGAAATGAAAAATGTGTCTGTTTGACGATTTTGTATTGTAAGTTATTTTCTTTTCGTGGTGCTTCTTCAGCACCACCACACTGAGCACAGGAACCCCCCAGGGCTGCGTGCTTAGTCCATTGCTGTTTACTCTGCTGACTCACGACTGTGTAGCAAAACCACATCATTAAATTTGCGGATGACATGACTGTAGAGGGTCTCATCAGCAAAGGCGACGAGTCAGCATACAGAGAGGAGGTACATCGGGTATCAGGCTGGTGCAAAGTCAACAACCTGTCTCTGAACGTGAACAAAAGAGATGGTTGTTGAGTTGACTTTACAAGAGCACACATCATCAACTCTATGCTAAATATTGATGGTTGCTCTGTGGAGATCAACCGTCAAGAGCACCAAATTCCTCTGTGCTCATTTGACGGAGAATCTCACCTGGTCTCTTAACACCAGCTACATAGTGAAGAAAGCATCTCTACTTTCTACAAAGGCTGAGGAAAGCTCATCTCACTTTCTCCAGCTTATTTTGCTCTCACTTTCTAGCCCCATGCTCTTAAGCTTTTCATTTATCTGGAAGATCAGCAAGAAAGAAAATAAAAACAAAAAACATCACATTTCCATGCTACATATCATCTACAGCCCTAAATAACAACATCAACAGCAACATTGTTTTCTTAAAACTGCTTCACCCAGTACATACTCTGCAAACTGTGTTGTTGCACCAGAATTTGACAATTAAAACTGAACTCAGTGTTTAAAGCTGATACAAACCTCATTCAGAACGGTCGTCTGTAGTGAAGAATCATTCATTGTGCATTTTCCATTACAGGTCAATTTAGTTATTAGCTATTATTATTACTTTATTTTATTTATTTGTTGTTTTTCTCTCTCTCCTTTCTCTTACTTACAGATTAAGATTGCTCTTCTTTCTTGTGTATGTGGACTTAATTGTTAAAATGTATTTGTAATGTTCAATCGCTTCTTCAATAAAAAAATAAAAGAGCATGTGCTTGTGTCTGTGTTTGGAGCATCTGATGCCCATATGTACACCACTGATCCTCACAAACTTCTCCAAAATACGCTTCCTTGGCGAGCAGCCGTTAAAAAACAGTTCTCTAGCCGCCGTTTTGCATTTCACACAGCACGATGAGAAACGTCTTGAGCTGCTCCGAAACACAGAATATCACAGAATACCTACAAGAGAGGTGGTGCTGTTTATTATTATTATTATTATTTAACATATTAATGCTAAAATTAGTGAACTGAATGTATTTTAAGTTATTTCGCATCCCCTGGAGGATCACTAAGCACCCAGCGGGGCGTGCCAAATCAAATCAAATTATGGCTAGATGTGATATTTTAATTTCTTAGCATTTTTTTTTTTTTTTGTAAATCTTTTACATTTTTACATGGAGAGTTACAGTTTATTCCCCGCTCTCTCCAATCCATTTCACATAAACACACCTCTAAACAGTCATGGGCGGTTCTTGGCCAGAACAGAATAAGCTGGAATGTAGACCAGACCTTTAGCCATTTAGTCTAACAAATCGCCTCTCACCTATTGGTTTATTAGATGTTTCATATGACTAGTAAGCCAATTCTCAAATGACTGCCATGATGGCTTTTGTTCTACCCACTTAAATAGAAGTAACAAAGACTGTGTCTGTTCCCCGAATAGTGAGGTCAAAATATAAATTTAATGCAGGATCTAGAAAAAATCTGATCGTGATTAAACCAGAAAAATGTAAAATAAATGAACAAAAAATTATTAATTTCAGATTCTTTTCCATGGGGTTTTTAACATTCACTGAGTAGGCCTACATGTCTTAATTCCAGTTTCACTGTTAAAACCAGTATGGGTTACAAATGTTTTATGTTAATATGTTTTTAAAGGTGATATGTTTTTAACTCCACGAAGCTACTGTTATAAGCATGAGCCCCGTCAGACTGGTCGTGGCGGCGGTGTTGCAACAATGTATAGTGATATTCTCAATGTTACTCAGAGAACAGGATATGGTTTAACTCATTCGAAATACTTCTGCTTAATGTTACACTGTCAGATATACAAAAGAACTCTATCGTATTTCTTGCTCTGGCTACTGTGTATAGAACACCAGGGTCGTATACAGATTTCCTAAAATAATTTGCAGATTTCCTCTCAGACCTATTGGTTACTGTTGATAAAGCGCTAATTGTCGGAGATTTTAACATTCACGTTGATAATACAAATGATGCATTAGGACTTGCGTTTACTGACCTAATAAACTCTTTTGGAGTCAAGCAAAACGTCTCCGGGCCCACTCATCGTTTTAATCATACGCTAGATTTAATTATATCGCATGGAATTGATCTTACTGATATAGATATCGTACCTCAAAGTGATGATGTTACTGACCATTTCCTTGTACCGTGCATACTGCGTATTACTGATAATAACTATATCGCTCCGCGTTATCGTCTGGGCAGAACTATTGTTCCAGCCACCAAAGACACATTCACAAATAACCTGCCTGATTTATCTCAACTGCTCTGTGTACCCATAAGTACACATGAACTAGACGAAATGACTAGCAACATGGGCACTACCTTCTCTAATACATTAGAAGCTGCTGCCCCCATTAAATTGAAAAAGGTTAGAGGAAAACGTACTGTGCCATGGTACAACAGTAATACCTTAAGAAACCACAATTAGATCCTAGTGAACTGGCAAATTACAGACCTATTTTAAATATTCCGTTTATGTCTAACATTTTAGAAAAAGTTGTCTGCTCAATCTGTTTTTGCCACGGATTTACACAAGCTTCAGTCTGGATCCAGAACACCTGAGAAGAGATGATGCTAACCCCTCAGAGGACCTCAAATGATGCCAACCCTGAAACAACATACATGCATTGTATGCAACATACAACGATGCATCGCGATACAAATGCCAACTTGTATCCGATGCACTTTTTAACCCGATGCATCGCATCGTTAACTTTTTTTTGCCGATGCACTGAGCGAATCGGGGAAATATGCAATAAGTGCATTGTATTAAATGATTAATTTAAATGTAAGGCCACCTAATATAAAGTGGGACCTTAAATTTATTTACATTAAAACATATGTTTAACTTTAAATATTTTTATGCATGCGTCTTATTTGTGAATTAAACTCATGACCTTGCCCTGATTAGTGCCATACTAGACTCTAACAAATAATCGTTAAGAACTCTATGTCTGCTATTTTGATGCTCTACTCTACTAGCCGAACTAATACCACACTGTACTTCAGTGCAACTAAATATGCAATTGAAAACCTTAGTAGGCTATACTTTTTTATACACACTTGAATGTGTTCTCATTTATATTCAATAGTGTACTTCTGCATTGTTCTCAGAGTTGTACGGTAGCAAAGGTCCAGACAATCATATGGCTTGGTTGGATATAAAATGAAACAAGCAATGTGTATTTCAGAAATACTTATAGTAAACATTCAAGTTTGCACCAGAAGTACTTTTTTAGGGGTACTATTTTTAATGGGTAAATACTTCTTGCTATTATTGTTTTGTAATACACAGACAGAGACATTTCCATGTAATAGTAACTTGTTTTGAAAGAAACAGGCAGCTTTTGCATAAAAGGTAGTCTAAATGTAAATAGAAAAGGACTACTCCCATGCTAATGAACCCATAGAGGTAGAATTTCAAGGTTTTATTTTTTACAATACAAACTGATTTGTCCTCAAATATTTTTGTGCTAAACTTTAACTTTAACGTTATTATGACAAAATAAATAAATACATAAATAAATAAAATACATAATTTAGAACTAGAGCATTAAATGGTTTATTTACTAAAAGAAAATCTGTAATACACAATACAATTATTTATAGGTAAATTTTTGCTAGATTCATTATAGTTATCGACAGAACTTTAAAAATTATTTTCACAATTGATTCCAATAAATAAATATATTATATAATATGACAATTCATGATGTTTCAATGATGGTTATTATTACTACCTCCCAGTTCTTCAAAATAATATAGTAAGTAGTTTATATAATATTTGTTTCCTTTATAGAGATTACTGCCCATTACATTTGTTATTTGAATTGGCTGTACGGTTGCTCTCCAGATGAAACACCTCTTCATCTTCTCTCTTTCTCCAGCTTAATTTTCTGTCACTTTCCAGCCCCATGCTCTTCAGCTTTTCACTTATCTGGAAAACCAGCAAGAAAGAATGAAACTATACATTAAATATCATCACACTTTTGGCTACATATTATTTTTAACCCTAACAACAACAATGATGATGATGAAATTAGTGGTGCTGGTTGGTTATAAGGTATAATTGGCATTCTAGTGCAACAACACAATTTGACAATTAAACTAAAATGGTTGTTTAAGGCAGATGCAAACCTCATTCAGAATGGTCGTCTGTAGTGAAGGATCATTCAATGTGCATTTTCCATTACAGGACAATTTCAGTCTGATGATCTGTTTTTTAATTAACTTGTCATCTAGAGAAATACAGAGTTAAAGTCATCCTCAACACAGAAGACAGATAAATAAATGAAAACATTTCATAGTTGTTTGTAAAATTTGTTTCAAATCCTCTCGTTTGAATTATTTGTTTCTGTGAACTGGGGAAACTCACCTCCATAGCAGATAAAAGGCTGCTGTAGATCACAGCTATTTTGAGACCATCTCCCAGAATCAGTTGTTGACATGCCAACACAGTCACCAGATCCTGAACTCTGGGATGGTTGACCTGCTGCCCAGTGTCTGAAGAAGAGGATCCATTTATCAGACCATTCCCAAGAGTCCAGAAACAGACCGATCCAGATGTAATATCCAGATAAAAGGATCTTAGTTATCTGGTTATTTTGCTCAGAGTTGTGGATGGTGGGAAGGTCTGTGTGATGCTGTCTGCAGTAGCTTTGAGCATCACTCCAGTTTTTAGCGCTCTGTACCAAGATGTATCCAGAAGTTTCTATTGAGAGATGCAAAGAAACAATCATGCAGTGCTCAGCTTTTTTCCCCCAGTTAAAATTCACATTCACAAATTTAAAAGAACAGGGAACTCACCATAGCACACAAAATATCGCGTATAGCTACATGACATATCATGCCAAACACATGCCAATCCATAAGTAGCTACACAATCTCCATCCCCATTTGGCTGTGCTGAACCCCAGTTATAGTATTGAGAATATGTGTTTACTGTATCCAGCATCCACTATATTTACCAGCCTGTTCACATCACCCATGCTGTCTACAGTAGCCAGATCAGTGTACTTCGATCTGCAGTAACTTTGAGCCTCTGGCCACGACATTCTCACATTTATATAGTGGTATGGATGAGAAACAGCAGAACTGCTCCAGAAGAGCCCTGTTAAAATCAACATGTTAAACCATCTATATGTGAACACATACTCATAAATACAGATTACAAATGACCACACCAACCTTACAGCAGAAGCAGCACAAACAGACTCCCGTCCATGACTGCTCACACAGATCCTCTCTGCTGTTTATCGCCACTGTCTGCTTTTGTATTCTAATTTGTAGGAAAATACGTGGAACTGAAACCTACATATCTAATGCCATTATCTATAAGTGAAAAGACAATCTGAAAATTCATGACACATTTCATAATTTTGCAATCAAACTTTTAAACCAAATGTAAAGGTTACATTTTCATTTGTTTTTGTACTATGTTTCCTTTACACACAGTGTCACTTCTTTGAAATGTTATTTTTCTACCTCAGAATTGTTTTCTGTATATTTTTTATATTGCTACTGAAGCGGTGTCTCATCTGCGTTGTGTTGTGTAGTAAACCGAGTCTCATTACACGGAAATCCTTGCCATCACGTCCTCATTTATTGGATTGCTGGGCAACACAAAACGGGCAAATTGAGGACTTGTGCAAATAAAGCAGTACGATGCAGCAATGCACGACGCTGAGAAAAATATAAATAATCACAGAGGGACTTGTAATCACAATTATGCAAGTATATAGTGTGAAATCATATGTTATGCGAAATATAGGTCTAATTGAATCACTACGTAAACTTTTGTAACCTACCAGTGTAATCACATGCAGACTGGGAAGAAGCTAAGTGTGCTAACTCCCCAAATCAGCATGGTTGCCAGATACACACAGGAAATCCAAGCATGGTCATGGCAAGTGGAATCACAAAATACTTGGGTAACACTTTATTTTGATGGTCTCTTTTGAACATTCTGTTGACAATAAGTAATGTTGCACCTACATGTCTACTAACTCTCATCAGAGTATTAGTAGACTGTTTGCTTAATATCTGCTAATGTCTCCCAACAGACATTCTACCGACTATAAGCAACTTGGCAAGTACATGTCAATTTATTCTAACCCTAACCCTACCAGTCTACTAATACTCTAATGAAAGCAAGAGCACCCTTGAAGCTGCAATAATAGGATATTGGCAGATTTAGCAAACACTTCTGTTTATTTGTGTTTGTGCCCTGGAGAGTGTGAAAGGTCTATTTTCAACTTGTTTTTGCAGCGTTGAGCAATGGAGCCAATCACAGACATATCTGTTGATTTCTTGGATGCAATGGCCAATCCGAGGCATTTAAGTTATAATCTGGATTTTGTTGTTTAGTGCGGAGTTCTGCACGCTTGCAGATCCTCTCATTATAACACACAAAGGGCAGACACACTGCAAACAAGACATTACAGGTAACTAACTTCATGAGTCCACGATCAATTGAAGAGAGTGACAGATTTGGAATGATTATAAACGGAGTGCTTTTTTTGTGTTTTCTAGGCTATAATCCATACAGAATTTGAATATCAGAATTTTTGTTTTTTTATGCTGCCAAGAGCCATATACACGGCCACATTCACGCTGCAAAGCTTCGAGAGTGACATCTGCATATAAATGCAGTATTCACTCTCAAAATTGCAATGACAGACATAATCATAGCAAGGGGACAGATATAAGAATATCATATTACTTTAATTTGACCTATAACAAAAGGATTTGCACATTTCTTACACTCCTCTCTGCATAAAAAAAAATGGTAATTTCACACACAAAAATATAATCTTCATTATTAGTAATTAACAGTATCTACAAAAATATTAACATTTTAGGCTATTGTGCATTATGCATTTTATTTACTTTTTATAGTTAAGATAGGCTGGACTAATTAATATAGTTTAATTATTTTTTTTTTTTTTTTTGAGAAACTGGGATGGTGCCCCCCTGGGATTTCGTGCCCTAAGCGAACTGCGTACTCTGCGTATAGGGAGCGGCGGTACTAATTGTGGCAGGAGCTAGGAAGAAAAGACCGCTAGGGTCTGACTAATTCTAAAGATTTAGAACTCCACTATACTGAAACCGACTACGCCACTGATATTTTATACAGAGAATATTGGAAATAAATTAAAGCACACAAGTTCGTGCACTAATTAGGACCAGAGGCACGACAAGTGGCAACATGTATATCGAAAATAGCAGAGGACCTAGGACAGATCATTGTGGCACTCCATATTTTACTGGTGATAATTGAGATGACTCCCCATTTAAATGAACAAAATGGTAGCGATCGGACAGGTAGGATCTAAACCATCTTAAAGCCTGCCCTTGAATACCTGTATAGTTTTGTAATCATGTTCAGCTTCATATATGATATGATCATATAATAATGATGATGATGATGATGATAACGCTAACTAGGTCAAGGTCAAGCTTTATTGAGATCCCTTGCGGTCAATTTGGATGCAGCAAAACAGAAATACAGTAGACCCATACAATACATTCCTAGACAAACATAAATACATAAAAATATATAAATAAAATAAAAAGAAAATTTTCCCTAAAAAATCCTTTAGAACTAGCTATTTCTAATGGATGAATATTTCTGTATCTACAATTATTTTACTATTGCTTCAGATTACACAGGAAGTGAATCTTTTCCATGAAAGAGTAACTTATTTTCAAAGAAACAAGCAACTTTTGCATAGCTAGTCTAAATGTAAATAGAAAAGTTCTACTCCCAAGCGGAGTTCATAGGTTGATTTAATCATCAACTCTAATCTGTGTTTATTAGCCAGCTCCTGTCAAAACAGTGCAGGGCCTGCAGGCTACTTTGTGGCCATCTGGTGGTCAAATTATGAATATACTGTATAGCACCTAACAAATATGATCTTCATGAACTCAACTCCAGACCACAGTCTATGCTCCAGAAAAACATAAGCAGTAAGGCCTGTTTTGCTAAATGAAACAAGATAAGCAATGTGCATTTCAGGAATACTTAAATTTAATTTCCAATTTAGCACCAAAATAAATAAATAATAAATGTCAGATAGGCTGTATGAAATGCTTTGTCTGGTATAGCCTACTGCAAGATATAAATATATGCAATTGTTACCTTATTATCTACTTATTATCTAACAATTATTCTAATTTTAAAACACAAACAAAGAGAGCGAGAGAGAGAGAGAATAAAATCTATTAAAGGGGTCATATGATGCGATTTCAATTTTTCCTTTCTCTTTGGAGTATTACAAGCTCTTGGTGCATAAAGAAGATCTGTAAAGTTGCAAAGACTAAAGTCTCAAATCCAAAGAGATATTCTTTATAAAAGTTAAGAGTCAGCCACGCCTACCTAAAACGGCTCGTTCTAACACGCCCCCACATACCTACGTCACTATCTGG